ATACGTGATATCATGATGTCACTATTTGACGCCGATATGTTTGCTAATCATTACGAACCGCTTGATACTGACATTTATTCAGGCCGGAATTAGCAGTCTATATTCAATATCTCATGTATTTGCAAATTCAATTATTTCGTCTACAACGCGTCTTTGACGATTGGCAACACGTTTGCAATTAATTATTAGAATGTATGAACATATCGAATGAAATATTATTTTGTAGCTTAAAGTTAGTTTAAACACGACTCATTTTACAAACATTTTCAAACTCACACGTATCGCATTTTAATATTGATATAAATAATGCTAGTAAAAAATTTGCAATTTTAAACAAAAATAAAAAGAAAAGGAATACATGCAATTTTTATACCAAAGAAAAAAGCATGTACGTTTTAGTTGCTATTCGAGAAATATAATATAAAATTAATTATTACTATTTTCTCTCTCTTTACTTTGTGAATTAAAATATTACACATCGTCTTTATAAAAACTGTACGAGTATATCCGATATGTTTGCTAATCATTACAAACCGCCTGATACTGACATTTATTCAGGCCGGAATTAGCAGTCTATATTCAATATCTCATGTATTTGCAAATTCTATTATTTCGTCTACAACACGTCCTTGACGATTGGCAACGCGTTTGTAATTAATTATTAGAATGTATAAACATATCGAATGAAATATTATTTTGCAGCTTAAAGTTAGTTTAAACACGACTCATTTTACAAACATTTTCAAACTCACACGTATCGCATTTTAATATTGATATAAATAATGCTGGTAAAAATTTGCAATTTTAAACAAAAATAAAAAGAAAAAAGAATACATGCAATTTTTATATCAAGGAAAAAAGCGTGTATATTTTAGTTGCTATTCGAGAAATATATATAAAATTAATTATTAACATTTCTCTCTCTCTTTCTCTCTCTCACTCTCTTAACTTTGTGAATTAAGGTATTACACATCGTCTTTATAAAAACTGTACGAGTATATTCGATATTAATGGAACCCGGCGAGAAATAATGTTACAAAAAAACGTAACCATGCGGTTTATTTTACTAATAAACAATTCACAAGACGGACCCGCCGAAATCGATCAGCGGAATAGGAATTTCTCCGCGGAAAATTCTCTGATATGGAATAATATTCCTCCCATCGTGCCTTATGCCGCGACGAAGCCTGCCGCAGTTGCAGCTGCAACCGGTCGTAAGAAAGCTGGCGCACGTGCTGCGCGGCGCAGAAGCGTTTCTGGCGCGCGGACTTATTTCACTATTTTATTAGATTAAATATTCACGACGGTAGAGCGCGATGTAACAACAGAGAAAAGCCGTAGAAAAACACAGTGAAATATGGTACGGGTCTCCGCTGCGCGAGAGAGCGCCGCCGCGCCGTGTTGGGAATAGAGGTCATTGCTGCATCTTTAATGCGTTGTACAAAAGCGGTGCATGAATAAATTGAACTTCGCCGTCTCGACATGCAACCACAGCAACGTGCCCCTTTTATTGTTGCATTTTTCTTTCGAATGCATCGTCCGTATCGACGATTCCCTCTATCAGTAAGGCATTTGTAAAATAAAAATTTTGATATATAACTTCGTTTTTCATGAAATATTTTTGTCCCTCCGCTAATACGTATATTTCGCGTTGATAGTTGAAGTTGGGCATTCTGTGATGTCTTTTACAATCGTTTATATTCTCTTTTTATAATGGGTGACACATTGCTCTTGTCATCATAAAATATCTTTAAAAATTGAGTTTAAGAAAATTCATTTGTCATAACTGATGTCAAAATAAATATGGAAATCCGTATTGTCACATGTGCGATTATGTGTAATTTTTATCTATTTTTTTTTTTTTTCAGTTTACCGTCTCAGATCGGAATTTGTTCGCTTTGAAGTAAACTTTACGTACGTTTCGCCCACTCCAGGCTATGTTAGCCAATCACTCTAACATATCCGAGTGGACGTGCCTTGTGACTTCCGCGCAAGCTTTTTTATGAAATTGAATTGTGTTGTTCATATATTTTATATAGAGATAACATGATAATCGCGTAAATAAATAATGTTGCACATGAAATGTTCTATAAAAAAGTAAAATTATTCCTTTCTCATACAAATTTATTTAATATATATTATAAAATTTTTAAAAATTAGAAAAAATAATAATTTCGATAATGTCAATGATCTTATAAAAACTATGACGCTTACGAGATCTTATAAAAACTATGACGCTTACTTTTATGATTTAGCATTCTACCTTGTCTTGATGAAGTAATTTATTACACCGCTAACAGTCCTTAATGAATGAAAACAAATGGCAGACGCACATGCAATGCTTCATGGTTGACACGCATTTACTGTGTAATAACGCCCTAGAGATTTTGTTATGGATGGAGCACGCGTGGTCGTTTGTATTGCAATAACAAAGTAACAAATGTTACAATGAAAATTGACGTTCGTTACTTGGCTTAATATATCTGCGCACGTGACGATACGCACTATACTGTGAGTATAGTGTACATACTGCGTGAAGATCATTTTTTTCCACGCTCGAAATGGATCTGATGCAATTTATTTGAAGATGCAATTAATCTTATCGAATTTGACGCAAACAATTCGCCGCGATATTTTGTTTTGAAAATATCGATTTAACTCTGTCACTGTGAGATTTTCAATTTTCCAGTTTATAAAAAAAGAATATAAAACAAAAATCTTTTATGAAAACATGTTGCATTTTTAGAAGCTACCTGTAAAATCTGAATTGCAATAATTCTGCATTTATCTGAACCAAAATTTAACATTTTCATTTGAATTTTGATTGACCTTAGAAAAAAATAATTCTAAACGAAAGGCAATTCATCGCAAATAACATTATCTAAATAAGCGATTTCTTAGCAAATATACCGTATTATTTATTGGCAGTTAGTGTAATCGCACAATGCCCTACATTAGTTATTAAAGAGTAAATATCTTATTAGGGGTTCCATCTTGGCATGCTATGTTTCCGGCCTGAATTTAATAGCAACGGAACGAAATGGCTTTTCAGGCCATTTCGCTAAAGCTCGTTATCTCGTTAACGATCGGAGCACCTATTCGTCTATTTCGAGCTTCGTCAAGGCAGGCACGACTGCGCCATCTCATCATGGTATCGAAGGAGCCATGACTACAAGATATATAACGATAAGAACGTGCTCGTTACACACGGAGAAAATTTTACAGTACAAATTACATGAAAAATACATCTTCTTTCACAACGTTTATTACGCTGGAATATAACATTAGATATTTTTTTAAATTATAGACATTATAATATTTATTACTCTAAAAATTGTAAATTTTACATTTGTTTTATTATTTGTTATTATGCACATTTTTTGTGTGTGAAAATATTTGAATAAAACGTAGTATATATAATATTATGGAATAAAATATATCGTGATTTCTTTTATATATTAATATTATAATATATTTCACGATTACAAAAATTATATTGTGATTTTTACTGCAATATTTTCTCCAAAAATTTGTGAAAAATAATAGATATCTTGAATCTTCAAAAGCAGACAATTTTTTTCATATCAAGTCCGTAATATAAAATCTATAGTAAGCAAATTGTTACAAAAATAAAATTGCTGTAATAATAAATAGATTACATACATATATGTGTGTACATATATATAAATATATTATTACATATATAAAAAATGTTACAAATGTAGGTATATGAAATAAAAAAATCTATGCAACATATATGAGCATTTTGATTAAAAAAATCTCTCGTATTTATATTTTTAATATTTTAGCATGAATGGCAAATATATTTTAAGATTACTATATTTCGGTGTTGCATATCCATATTTTGTGAATATATTAAAGTATAAATGATATCTGTAATCCAATAAATTTTAAAGATTATTTTATTAGACAATTTTGTACAAAATTTGAAATTTAAATTTTTGAAAATTTAAACTTAAATGAAAATTATTATTAAAGTAATAACTCAAGGATAGAATACTGAGAGTTGCAAAACATGCAAAATAATTAATGACAATCGCGTAAACATGTCGATTTTAAGAAATGTTTAAAATATTTGACAGTTGATATATTCTGTATATACTTTAATAAATGTGGAAGAATTAAAGTCTAGATAATCAATAATTGAGGAAAGATTGACATTAATTATTTTTGATGAGATTTTGTTCATAAATCTATAGTATTTGTAAATTTTATATGAACTTTCTGCAAATGTCTATTATCGCAATCTTATTTTTATTTTTGAAACTTTAATTCTTGAAAATCATTATATATATTATTGTAAACTCTATTAAAAATTTGAACTTTGAGAGAAAGAGAGAGAGAGAGAGAGAGAGAGAGAGAAAGAGAGAAAATCCATTAATTTTGTTTCTTGAAATATTTTCCGATATATCTGGAACGCGTCCCATATATTTCCAGTGCCCGTAAAGTGTATAGTCAATACTGTCGGATAGAGATACATCTCTTTTTCAGTTCCATGAATATAGCGAACGTGAGCATATGAAGTAACTGCATCTTAAAGAAAAGATATACATCTCCATTTTTCTAGAATTCTCTTCTTGACTATACTTTTGAGGACACATTTCTCTGTCACAGCTACAATTTTTTCTCGGTCCTTTCACTCTTGTAAATTGTTAATATTACAATTACTCTCTCGCGTTTATTCTCGACACTGATAAATTCTGCGCGTATTTCTATACTGATAGCTAATCTAGAGATACATAATACAAGATTGACGATTTTCGCGATTCTCGGCCTGTGTATACGGATGAATGGTGCAGAATAGAGCGCATGATATCGCTCAAATCATATTTCAGAAACCGGGTTAGTGCCACGAAAGCAGGAATGGTCGAATAAAGCAAGGACGCGAATGAAAGGGGGCGCTTAAAATGGCAGCCGCGAGATAATTAGAGAAAAAACGGGAAAGCAGGGAGGGCCTGGTGAGAGAATGCAAGCCTCACCTGTACTTTCGCCACCACGTAGCTTCTGCTCGGGCCTCTCAACCCTCTCCTCACTCGGTGGAGGTGGTCTCTCTGTCCTTTTCGGATTGTAGGGGTTGTACGAGGAGGGCCACACGGTGGTCAGCCTTTTTGCTGGCGGTGGCGTGCTCGGTCGTCCTGAAAATAGATTAGGACCTTTCTCATCTAACCCAGGCACTCTCCGTTTGCTTCCTTTTTTTTTTATTTTTTTATACACCCGCCAATAATCCAGCCCAGCCTGTCTCCTCTCTCTCTCTCTCTCTCTTTTCCTCCTTTCTTTTTCTCTTTCTCCCGTGCTCTCGTTCCTGCATTTGATTTTATCGTATAATATTATGCGCGCTATTCTACACCATACAAGGCCGTAGCAGCAAAATGGCGCGCGATGATGAAAATTTAACAAACATTGCGGTAATACGATGCAACTTGCAGCCGCACGGTGATCGTAGACGGGTCTTTAAATTTTATATCAGATTAAACTTATAGAGTTTCTTCTTTTGTATCGATATTATCTCCATTTATATGTTCTTTTTTACTTCTAATTATTATCTTCAAAATATAGTTTTTAATACAACAATTAAAGTATTAAAAAAAGTTTTAAATAAATATATAAATAAAATAAAGTGAATTGTTAAATTAATTTGAAAATTACATTAATATATCTAATTGAGATTTTAATTTACATTTTTTTCTTTATCTGACACAATAATAAGGTAAAAAAATAAATAGAAATAAAAAAATTCCTTTTATGTCTGATTCTCTCTCGTATATTTGGTATATTTTTGCTACATAATAACTGCGTTCCTAGTTGCTACGTTATTCGTAACAAACAAAGTAATTTATAATAGATAGGATAGAAAACATACGCGCGCGCGGGTATGTGGTGGGTGCAAGTTTGATGAATTCTCGAGCTTCTCTTTGAAAACGAGCCAAGTTCAACTTGTTGCGTTCGATGCCGACGAACGTTTTATTGAACAAAATGCCTCCTCGCGGCGGAAAAAAGAGGAATGTGGCTGTAATCTTCTACAAAGCGTCTCGGTACTTTGCGTTTTAACTGATTATCATTTAATATAAAATTTCATCAGACCTAAATACAATTTTCTCTCTCTCCCTCTCTTTCTCTCTTTCCTTTCTGATCTCTTTAAAAGAAATGTAACTTTTTTTTAATTAATCCTTTTCATCATCATTTAACACTATAATAGTTATCTTCAATTATGTGTAATTAATTTTGAAGTGCTTTTCAAGAAAACAAACATTTTGTTTCACATGGAATAAAGTTCCTAATAATATTGTAATTGAATGATAAAAATACAACATTTTTGAATCACATATATATTTAAATATCAAAATAGAAAATCTTTAAAATTCATATTTATTATAGATATCATGAAATAATTACGAAACGATTACGTCGGAAAGATAAATAACTCGTTTTATGCGTGTATATATATTTACTCTAATCTTACAAGAGTACTCTGCTAAATAACTCTCTCGACAACATAGTATTTAACAATCGCTTTAACAAACTTCTCATAGTGTGCATGCCACGACTAATCCGATTGTCAACATTATAAGATTATGCTCGACGCGCGCCCGCGCGCTAGCGTCTTATCTTTATAAATATGAAAGCGCATCCCGGGAGAGTCGCATCCTTCGCCGGCGGTAGATTGAAACTTTACTTACACGATAATTCCGTACAGTGCGTATCAACCTAGGGTGTAATTCAGGTTGATATTCGCCACGGGGCTTGTATACTTCTACTGCGCAGAGACTCGTTACCGTGACTTGGTAGCAAGGTGGTTTGACGCTTATTTCGTTACCCATAATCGCGAAGATTATTCAAACTATCATCGTTCGTGGTCCCGCGCGTGTCGTTCGTCGATGTGGCCTCGAAAACTATGTTCGCGAAATAATTCGAGGTATATAAGTTATACCGTAACGCGTCTTTTCTCCGCTACTTCATACAAAAAAAAACCGATATGCTCGGTCTTCAAATTTCTCATACGTTAATATTTTAGAGATTGAATTGTTTTACATATTTTCTGAAGAACACATAAGAAAGGAAAATAAAAAATGTATTTTATTAAGCAATTTTTTTTGAGAAGAAATAATAAATATATATTTTTCTCGTATTTTTACTTTCTAGATTCGTTTTCTTTTTCACAAGACGAAGCATTTCGAAGCGTATTTGAAAATTTACGCATGCTATATACATATATAATAGGCATCAATGGGTGTACTAAGAACAATTTAAACACTTATACAAACGTCCTTTAATTAATTCCCTCTAGTGAGTTTGCCTCTCTGCTCGAGTCACTTTCACTCGCAAATTTCTACATTCTATCGACTCGACGGCCAGGCCGGCAATGCAACGTGTTCTATCTCTTCGCCTTCTCCCGATCGTTCTCTTTCCTCGTCGCACCCTACGGTCTTTCTAGTTTACAAACAAGCGACCCTTCAACTCGCCCAGGCTGCTAAGTTGACGCTAGAATGGGTACTAAAAAGTTTTCGAATAAAAGTTTAAATACGCCCCAGACAAACTTCGTTTTGCAGCTTCTCTCCGCGGCTCCCTAACAATATGGCAGCTTCCGGGTCACCTGCCTTTATGCCGCGAGAACATGTAGACGCATCTTTTTATACATATTACCGCGATGCTTACGAATAAATACACTTGTTAACGTTTTCCCTTTTCTACCGCCAGGCAATCACAACGGCGCTCGTATTTCATTCAGTTTCGCCTGCTTTTGTTGCCCTTTTCCGAGGTGTGCGCCGGAGCTTGTTTAGGAAGTTTCCAAATAACTCGTTGAAAATTTAAGAGTCTCGCGGCACCTTTTCCAAAGTGCCGCGGCGGACGGCAAGAAGAATTTGTTTCGGGCAGACGAAGAGAGAAAAGACGAGAAAAGAGAGAAAGGAAAGACAAGCGAAGAAGACAGGACAAACAAATTCGCGAACGCAGTTGAGAGAGGTAAAATGGCGAGATGAAATTATTAATAGTTATAATCCTTTGAAGTCCTTCAAAGTTTTGCGCTTTACTAGACGCGTTTGAAATTAAAAAAAAAAAAAAAAAACCAGTAATATTATTCACTTTGAATTATTTGTAGTAAAATATTGTCAGTTTCTCAATTAAAATTTTGCATGCTCGCTCAAGAGAGAATATGATTTATTTAAAACTAAGCAAATTGATACTGACTCGAATAATTACTCCACAACTCTTTAATCGGCGTAAACAAGAATTTAAGCATTATTTGAATCTTTTATAACTAGATGCTCAGAAATAATATACTGACAATTATACATATATTAATATAAAATTCAAATTTGATCTGAAGTTCATTTCAGTAACTTGAATTCAATTAGTCGCGTCTAAAATGAAATATATAACTTATACATTTGTCATACATTTGTCCGTGAATTGTCAAATTAAGTGCTGTTTGAAGATCTTTTTATATAAAATGATGTCACATCAGACCAGTTAGATACCAGAATGCGCGATGTGGCGTATAGTTTTATGCCAGAAATAATTTGGACCTCGTTATCGATTTTCAATTAATCATGCCCAAGAAAATCAATAGCTATCTATTCGATTGATATGAGTAGGAATTATTAAATTGCTTTTTTCTCGTTAAATTAAAGCCGATCATTTTTAATAAGATCCATTTAAGCGGACGATGAGATAATTTTATATGATTTAATATTCAAACAAGGTTATTTTATTACGGTGCAGATGATTCATTATTAATTTATAGTAAAGTCAAAGATAGTTTTGATAAAAGTTAAAAAAAAGAAATCTTCGTATCCTTTTTAATTTATATCCTGAGAAAAGTCTAGATTACTAACACACGAGGCTACTTGGTACATCACATAAAATTGTAAAAATAATGTTTTTATTTATGTATTAAAATGTCGTAATATTTCATTTGTTTAATGTACACAAATATTTTGCGTATTGAATTTAAGAAGCTTTTATGTTACAATGCCATGCCGTACGAAATTTGCAAATATTACCTACATATATTGTGTGTTGCGTATACTTCCCTAGAAAGCTAATACAATATACATATTAAAAATATTACACATATATATTCATTATCAAAGAGGGAAAAGAGATTTGTGTCATGAATGAACGATTTATTAATTTAGAAAAATGGAAGAATAACTCTTATATATAATTTTTACCGCATGAATTTTTGGAACATAGATTAAGTTCATTATTCAAACATATTATTATACGTCGTGTTTTGCCAACTAAATATAACAACGAATTATATACATATAAGCAGTTGCAAGCTTCCATCATGCAGACAACTCGTTGATTATTTAAATATTTCAACTCCGCTTCGCCACTGTTCCTTTATGAATAAAATTATATTTTTTATTGAATATCAAATATTCTTCCCATTGCATTCTCTCGGATGACTTTTGATTTGTCGTCGCATGCAGCTTGCATTTAGAATCGCAGATCGTTCCGTAAATGGCCGTAATCTTATCTAGGCAGATAAGACGAACGGCAGTCCCATTGGAAACTGCTAGGCGCTTAATGTCGTGTTCGTGAGTTATTGCATACCTCGGCTAGGTCATTAATAACCCCGTAGTATTAAGATTGATTCGGAGACGCGCGTGCGAAAGGGGGAGAAATAGAGACAGAGATAGAGAGAAAGAGAGACGAACGCGACGTGTCCCTTGCCGATTTCGCCAAAGTTTCTCGCAATATTTAATCAGCAGTCGAGGCCATACATTACAGTGAAGACGCGCTGTCTCGTTTCGCTCGCTAAGTATATGCATCCGCGACAAGTCGTTAATACGGCTAAATTACATTAGAGCCAGGAAAATGGATACGTCAGCTACCACGCCTATAAAAAGATGGAGAAGGAGAGAGAGAGAGAGAGAGAAAGAGACGTCTCCGTCGAAAGAAAACGTTCTCGATTACCATTATTCGCACGTACGATTCGCGCGCATTTACTTCTCCTTCCCTGCTCATCCCCCGAAGATTTTCTCGAAGAAATCGTGCATCGGACTTACGCCTTCGACGCTCGTAAATCTCGGTTACGATCCTCCGGGCTTTTACGATCGTCGGGTCGCGGAGAAAATTCACCCCGTTGGCGACATCAATATCGAAGGAGCGACCGTTCGCCCATTGCCACTCGCGAAAACTCACGCGAGAATAACGATTATTCATTAGAACACAGTCGGCTCTCCCTTCGGACGTTTCGGAATAACGATAATCCACGTAGCGGCCGGCAACGGAGCCGGGCTACGGTAAAATTGCGGAGCTTAATGGCGGTAGTACCATCGTGGCCAAGCCTTGTATGGCGTTAATAATGCAGTATATTGAGATTGGTTTCGCGAGGCAGAGAGCGAGGAGAGAGAGAGAGAGAGAGAGAGAGAGAGAGGAGAAACACGGAGGCAGCAGAACCATAGGGACCTGACCTAGGCATCCGCCCAAGTTATTCGCCCTGCTTTAATAATACACCGATGCGCCAATGTGCGGACTCTGCGAGCCTAATGTAAAGACCAACTCCGGAAACATTATACTTGACTCGGACGTCATGCGAGAGTAATTTGCCTCGAATAACATCCCTTATCTCGAAATCGCGTTTGATTGATATATCGCAGTTACTTATCGCCTCTATATATTCGTGCTCGCTCAAGCTTTCGATATATATATATATATAGCGAACGGTAATTTTACAACGTTATCCTTGCACTTTTTAATTCATTAAAAAATCGTTTATCGTGTCATATATATATATATATATATGACACGATAAACAATTTTTTAATGAATTAAAAAGTGCAAGGATAACGTTGTAAAATTACCGTTCGCTGAATAGTGCGACAAATATTTTAAGAAAATATATATCGTATAGCTTTAACGTAAAGAGATCCTGCTTTCAGTCCGGTATTTATGTTAACATTATTTTTCTTCGAATGAGAGAACCGCATTTGCAGTCTCTTAAATCAAGATAGAGTACGTCGTAGGAGGCGAAGAAGTGCTTTAGAGATTCTACGATTTGAGTATAAAAATGTAGATAATGAGTTTGTGTCTCCGCGCGCGAACGACGATTGTTAAAGGAACGTCAGCGATATCGATTTTCTCCGCAAGGTCGGAAATACGTATATTCAATAAGGTTCTCACCTTCTTTGTTGGCGCTGCTCTTGATCTCCGTCGCTTTCGGTGCCACCGATGGTTTTGGGATAGCTGAAATAAAAATCATTCGTCTTTAATGACGTCGTATAACTTCTTAAATATCGGCCGATAAATTTGGCCTGCGAAAACTCTCCGCCTTATTCATATTTTAACTCGGGACGGTCATCTTATCTCTCGAAGCGGCGGGAATTACGGTAACGGCGAGATATAACGGAGAGATGGCGGACATTTCTTCGGCGATTTAACCGCCGCCGATTTACTGCTAACACATCCAGTCGGCTTTAAATAAATCTTCGACTCTGGGCGAAATTAAACACAGGGCTCAAGAACTCGCGATTTATGGACGACCGTTTCGCTTTTAAATTATTCTCTCACGCTATATACATGTACGATATTCCAGTACGGAGCAAAAGTACCACGCGATATAGAGTCGCGACGATAACAATCGGAGGGGAAAAAAATTGTTTGTCCGAGCACGCAAACGAGTTAAAAAATGCACGTCAGCTTACGGTATAATCTGATGGATCCCTCGGTCTCGCCCAGCGAGTTCTTGCTAATGCAGCGGTAGCTACCGAAGTCGTTCGCTGTCAGGTTTCTGATGGTGAGTCTCATGTGCGCCCGGTAGCTGTTCTCCATAATATTCGTGGTGTATTTCTCATTGGAGAGAATCATCTCCTCTCCTAGAAACCAGTAACTCATGGCACGGGGATAAGCTTCCGTGTGACAGTCGATCGTTACATTGGTACCGGTTGGCGCACCTACCAGCTGATTCGGCACGAAGATCATTGGCATAACTGAAACGTATTTTATAGAGATTTGTGTTATTTTTTCATTCCATTTTTATCCGACATTATTTATATAGGTACAATATTTAATAATTCTGTTATATATATTTTTGAGAGAGAGAGAGAGATATCGTGCGATATATTCAAATTTTCCATTTATATTCAAATATAGTGAAATGTCAAACTTTACTTGTGCAGAATATAAACTGCTATTTGCAGATAAAAAAAAAATAAATAAAATCTCTTTAACAAGACATGCAGAGCATATAAATATTTCTGAAATATCTATGCGATATAAAAAGAATTTCAAAATTGCTCGCGCACGATAATACGAAAAATGTCTTTCAGCAGCGGAGAGGCAGAGACACTCTCTGCCGCAATCTAAAGAGAGAAGGAATTGGACGGTCAGCTTATTACCCGCAACATATAGTCGGAAGACAATAAAATTAAAAAGTGCGCAACACCTCGTGTCCCGTCGCAATATCAAGTTTTTCCCCCCATAATGCAGATACGATGCGGATCAAGTTTGCGACGGGATGGCATTCCGCAAAATGTGCGCCGCGGTCGACGAAACGAGTTCGGAACAAAGTCTATTATGGTTACAAGTCTAACGCGCCACGGCGTTAAGGTTCAGGCAATGAAGAGTTAAGGTCGCGCGAGAGACGCGTCCCATCTTTTCGTTCCTCCGAGGCCGCGGCGCGCTATTCCAGGCGAACAATTTTCTAACTCGGCAACTAAACCAGAAACGACTGCTTCTTCTTCGTTTCGAATTAATCCGACGTCGGATGCACGATGCACCGCTCGTGTAACATCGTGACGTTAGCGACGAGTGTGCGCTTTTAGTAACGGGTTAAATTAAAGTTGCAAACTCCGCCGGCGAGTTTGTATGATGCAATAGGAGAATAATAATGCATTTGTATAGATGGGCAGTGATGTAAAACGACACCCGGGTACCAGAGAGCTCGTTATACTCTCTATAACGAGGAGAATCATATGCTATACGTTCCGGACACGCCAATGATATTGTACGGTTTTTTTTATTTATTTAATTTTTAATTTTTTCACTTTTTCTTCCTCTCCTTGGTCAGCTGTGCGCGGCAATTTTTGCGAGGAAGAGAGAGAGAGAGAGAGCAAACATTTCAATTAATCACATAGCGACTATACGATAAAGACTCAAAAAATCGACATATTCGATATTCACAATATCCGATGAACAAATAGATGAAAAAGTATTTTAATAAAATATATGAGGTTCTCAATTAAACTCCTAGTTGCCATTCGCTCTGTCTGTGTGCAACAGAGAGAGAGAGAGAGAGAGAGAGAGAGAGAGAGAGAGAGAGAGAGAGAGAGAGAGAGAGAGAGAGAGAGAGAGAGACACAGAGGAAGAGATAGAAATGTAACGCAGTTACAGTCTGAATTGCGGCAGATATAGACGTAATCGATGGTAGGAGAAATAGGGAGAAGTGTGCATTAATTAAAGTTAACGCTGGCAATTTGTGGATTTGTGGTAAGCCGGGATGCGCGCCACGGAGCACGCTGATATACAAGCATGGTCAGGTGATCATGACTTTACGAATTTGTATCGTTCATCGTGCATGCTAGTCATTCCGACAGATACTTTATCGATTATACGGAAAAAAGACGTTAGCGTACGTTTCAAGCATGACTAGGAAAACGGAAAAACATGTGTGTGTATCTATATTTTTATCACTAAGAATTATTGTAGATCTAGTATCAATATTTCAAGTAGATTAAATTCTTTTTCTCTCTCCTTAATTTTTATTAAACCGTTTTTTATATTTAAAAGCATACATTTAAGTGCTTTATGATAAAACTATAAAGTTTCTAAAATCTACTTTAGAGAAAAGAATATTACTGCATTTTATGCCGTAAGAATTATTAACGCGATAGTAAAAATCGAAACATCTTGTCAAATCTTGTGCAATCTTGTGAAGTTCACTCGTTCAAAAAATACATTTAACGAGCTTTATGTTTATAATATTTTTGTTCTGTTAATATTTTTTATCGGAATATTTTTCAAGGATCCCATTATTACTCGAATATTTCTATAGCCTTTTAAACAAGAACAAAATTGTACGACTTTACATCCTGCGCAGTTCCTCATTATTATCATCTTACGTACCTTGAATGCCCGTCTTTAATACCCGATGTAAATAGCGCGCCGTCGATTATGCTCTCATCGCAAAAATCTCGTCATAATTCAGCCGCGTCATACTCTCGTGCATCATTATGCGACCAATTTAAAAAAGGGGTATTGTACTCTTTGCAATGACGCGGAGGATGTAGTTCGCATTTTCTTGCTGTTGTCGACTCACACAGACTGATACAACACGCGAGCGTTGCGAATTGTCGCGTGTGTATTCGAGCGGAACGCAAAGCGCGAAAACGTAGGCGGTAACGTAAAAAGTCAACCCGCTAAATTGTGCATGTCTCATCAACATGCCTGATGAACCTGGCTAACCACTTGCCGAGACGGTGCATGGAAGCGCGCGCATACCAACCGAATTATGTTCCCAACACTTGCGCGCGTTTTCTCTTCTCATCCCTCGCTTGCACGCTTTATGCAACTGCACCATTTTGCCCGCATTGCAACGATGAAAATGCGATATATATATATATTATATATATAACTGATTATGAATGAAAATGCAGAAAGATCGTTACGTCGACGTGATAATTCCGTCATTAGATCGAGTATGCAGATTGCTCCTCGAAACTGTCGATTTTAATTTGCCAGATTTTTGAGAATTGGAGGTAGATTTTTCTCTCTAAATTGAAAGCATTTGAATTATCAGCGATTAACAAATAAAGCGATTGGCGAAATCAGAGATCGGAATTTTATTGTTCCACGGAAACCTCATTTCCGTATAGATTGTATAACTGGACTAATGAATTGCTACGTAATAATGATTTGCATTGTGCAGGTACAGGATACCAATATGCAATAGACAATGTGTAGAAATTCACTTTGTTACTTCCGCTCTCATTGTATCGCTGCATTACGTCGTCGATTTGTTCCATTGTAAAGTGGGTAAAGAAAACTGGCCGCGAATAGTACACCATGCTCGATTGGCTGGAATTTATGTAATGTCTCTTTCGAAAGAGTTTACAGCGTGTTACGCCGAGCGATTGTTAAACCTCCGATTCCGGAAGGAAGTCTTGACGTCTTACGCTGATCGAGTACTCTTTCCATTTTCCTTTTTATCGAGAGAAGAATCGAGGGATCTATTGTTTCTCATTCTTTTTAAATCACTTGAAAAGAATTGCAAAAGGCAAAATATAAAAACGTTCAAATATTTTCTTTGAGACTTGTATCACTAAACGCGAAAACATTAATTCCAATTTTCTTTATCGAGATTTTATAAGCTAGCGAAGAAATATGTCGAAGAGAACATTTTTAAAACCTTTATTGATTTCAGAATAAAAATAAATGACATAATGTTTTAATCGCACGAAAATAATTTCTATCAAAATTAAATTGTAATTATTACATTATATATATTAAACTGTAATTATTTTATACAATTTAACTTCAACATTTCATTAATATTAAATTGTTTAAAATAATAATGTTAAATTGTATAAAATAATGTACCCTACATTTATACATTTATACTAAAAGTTTTGTTTATTGATTATTGACTTTTTAACAAAATCATAAAGAAATTTGATCTCTATTCTCGGATTACAAATATTTATATAAATAATAAAAAACATTTGTTTAGTACCATTTATTTGTTATCGAGCATTTATGTATTTCGAGCAATTATTAAAATTAAAATGGAAGAATATAAGAGAGAAATGGAATATAAAAATAGGAAAACGTAAAATTTTCTATATGAGGAAGGGAGGAACGTTTTAATTATAAATGATACATTTTCTAATATAATTTGATTAACTCCATTGAAAGGAGAAAATTATATTTAAATAAATAATTAGATTTTAATATTAATACTCTAGATATCTTTTGATTTGGGTCATATGTTATTAACTATTATTATCATAATTATAATGATATACTAAAATACTTAAAAATTCATTTATGGCCCTTGATGCATTATTAAATCGCAAGAACACGTAATAATCATTATTAGAAATAAAACATGCGTATCCATAAATTATAAAATACTTGAAAAAATGTAAGTAAAATCAATCATCGTCTACATAATTAATAGAGTGACACAAGAATTATACGTCAACCAACGTACATTATGCGTGACAGTTAAATCATTAATATGATCAAAGATAATTACAAATCTGCATGTGTATAATGCTGACTAAAGGAAAAAAGGGGACAAAAAAATCGTGACGGATTATCGATTCTGCGGGATACGCAGGTGGCAAAGCGAAAGAAATCCATCGTCGATCAACCTCGAAGAAATTCCCTCGCGGCTCTCGGTCGAATCTAATTATATGCGTTTAAATTGTTACAAGCCGATATGTACCGCAAATCCCAACGGCGCGTACATACATACATACATACATACACACACCACCGACCGCACACATGAGATACGTTCCGGGTGCACGAAGAAGACTTCTCGAGCGTCCTCCGCTATGACCCGGCGCGGAAAACCGATGTTCGTCTAAATAAAATATGTCCCCCGCCTTCCTAAATATTCAGAAGATACCCGGCCCTTGTGCGCGGGCGCCGTAGATGTAGTAGGTACCGTTTTCTTCTTTCCTCAACAACGGCGGAGGTCCCGCACGCACGCGGCCGTATCACACCGACATGCAACAGCAGCCGGTTGCGAGCATACGAAGTGACACGAACGAATGAAACGCATAAAAGGGAAAAATGACCAGGACCGACGGGACGGCTTGCGCGCGGCTTTCGGTATTTCCCTCGGGCTTCCCCAACGGCGTCCTCCCTCCGACTCGCCCATCCCTTCTTGCCTTGTTGTCTGATACACGTATTCAGAGCACAGCACGTGCGCTGCTGTGTATGCAGCGGCGTGTGCACGCGCGCAGGTGTGTTTATGTGCGACTGTGTGCGCGCGTGTTCAATTCGTGAAATGAAATTTAAACAATACACGAACGGAGGCGAGAGAGAGAGAGAGGGTGGAAAGGATCCAGCCTGGGTTGGATCCGAGGTCGCGTATAACGAAGTGTGTTTAAAATTTATTCGATAAATCGTCGCTGGATACGTTCCAGACGAAGACGCCTAATTTTCACAGCCGCTTCCTCTGGGAAAGTTCGCGCCACGTGTGCGTACGCCGCTATTTACGACACTTTACGACGCGCGAGAGCGAGTTGGGAAGTTAAGATATTTTACGAACATTTGGCGTTCACAATCATAATAATGTCTGCCGCAGCCAATTAACATAATTAATTACGGTAATTGAGTCGCAACAGCTGTGTAACACGTTACTGTTCTACATTCCATTTACATCATGCAACCCCTTTTCTCCCGTCCCTACTCTCTTTCTCTCTCTTTCTCTCTCTCTATATATAATATATATAACTTATTGTATAGCTATATGTATTATATCTTGTATAATCTAGACGTTTAAATTATAATGCCATTATATTTATGAAACTTGACATTGACAGATAATACTTCATTGTACGCGCGTTTTGGTTAAATCCATGAATTGAATATCTTCACATCGTTAAGCGTTTATTGCTGAACATTCAGCCGGTGTAACGTCGTAACGTTGTAATTATCGCGTCACGTTGTACCCGTCATATTGCTGGCAGCATGCCATTCGCGACGAACGTGTACACATCTCATATTCGTTATATGTACGTGCAAACGCGATAATAATGTAGGTATACGGTATGCTTGTAACAAACTCACATTCGACATCCACGGTGATCCTCTTGCTGACCGTGGGCGGTACACCATTGGTCGCGATACAGAGATAAGCGCCCATTTCGCTGCGCGTGATCCTCGTCAAGTTTAATTGCTCGCCATCATGCATGGCCACTGAAACCAGAAACGGGAATTGATTCAGCTTAGCCGAGGGGCGCGGATATAATTTAGGGAGACTATGGACCTTTACGTATTATAATGTATAGAGAAGCCTTGAAACAACGTTTCGTCCTTGTTGCCTCCTTGCGAAAGGCGAACGATTATGCAAATTGTAGTAATGTGAAGTTTAATTTTATGAGTAACTAAATCTAAAACTTTACGTGGAAACACGCGTCAAATTATTTTCAAGTGTGTAAACGCTAAAATATCTATAACATGCAGAACACACACACGTAGATATATCGTGCACGAAGAAATATATTTTTATTTTACGATAAATAGAAACTGTAACACAGATAAGAAAAATTCAACTTGTGAAACGATTGCTGTAAAGATCATGATTATGATAAATCGCGTGATGTTAGATGTATTGATCCAATAGGGAACTTTACGCCATACCAAAGTAGTAAAGTTATGAGAACCCCGAATATACGTTTATTGCCGTCTGATTTATGCCCTTAGATATCTGGGTTACTCTATATTGTGAAAGTTTGTGCAGCGGAGCTTGTATTTTTAAAGTAAGATTATAGTAAAATTATAAGAAAGTCACGAGACGAAAGAGACGCAGTGTGGAAGTTAATAACCTTCCATTTCTGTCAAACTTATTCGACGTCGATTAGAATTTTTTTTTTTTTTTTTTTTCACCATTAAAATCTTTCTCGTTAAAGCAACTTTGTACGAAATTGACTATGCGACTATCGCGAATGACTCACGACGAAGCAAGTATGAGACGCGATTCGCGTGATCAGGATTTTCAGAATGTCATTCGACGAGGGTGGATGGTATTGGCTTCGTGTCTACGTTACATCAACCGAAACTTTCTTTTATCACGGAGAAACAACTGGTACGAGAGTTGATGGAAGAAGGAGGAGAAAAAAGCAAAACAATTATCCCATCGCGACAAAAAATTGACGGTATCAGACTATCTTTATAAAAATAATTTGTCGATATAATTACATTCTGTGCATTAAATAATACAATTTTGTAATGCTTTAAAAACATTGGTTTAAAAGGATTTCATCAGCAACACTAACGAGAACTTTTGCAGACGAGAATTTTGTTAATGAATATTATAATAATGATGATATTTTACTTTTGCGTAACGAGAGAATTTGTCAAATTGACGCGTACAATCGGAAAATTTTCGAGATTAATATTTGTGTGATATTTATGTTCCATCAACGCATCTGCTAATGGACAAACTTTGAAGTAAACTAATGATATATTTCGTATAAAAGTTTTTAATCTCGCTCTCTGAATCTCTAACCACGTTACACAGCGAAATATACGCAAGTCTCTATAGAGATCGTGTATCTCGAAAAATACATTACTTTCGGTAATAAATACTAGCCGATAATGCGATGGATGGGAGAACGAAATTCGATAGACTAAGAAAGAAGTTTCTCGCCTGGAATCCGACAGAAAGAAAAAGAGTTTCTTTTCGTTATTTAGACATGATATTCACTTCCTTCTCTAACCAAGCATACTTTCTTAATGCTTATAAATCTTTAATCCAGTATGATTTGCTAGAGAACAAGTAACAAAGCTAAGCCAAGCATTAATACATCTCTATCGCGCTGCATTTGAGATCGTAAATTCTAAATGAAATTTCTTTAGATAACTATTGTCATATATAATTGTAACCCAAGCATTAACAGGTGAAACGCGTCTCTCACTCGTGACTGATCGCGAGTTTCGAGCTATCGTGGAAGAGCAATCAACGTCAATCCTAAGGGGGCTTAGCGCGTTCCCATAATGACAATTAACGAAATCGAAACAAACGCGAGCTATAAAAGAAGCTACGACCCGCTCACGATTGGCGGCTGCGATACGCTCGTTTTCCAGTGACGTTCATAAATCTTTGGCCAGGTTTACTCCGGCTTTGCTTGTCTCCTAGTCGCGATTAACCGACCTCCGGCCATTAGAGCTGCCGGCGGCGATGTTTCTTTCACGAGACACATGCCCTGCCAGCTCTCCCATGCCACGTGCTCTATACTCACGGCCAGAGTGGACAGGGTGGTGCAATGCCGCCGATTGGCAGGGCAAGGCGCAAACCGATCGATCGACGCGAATAATTGAGAGAACGCGCGAAATCCGGAGCCGGAGAGAACGACTCCGATCCCGTGGATACCAAGTGACGTGATAACATCGAGCGATAAACCGAAACGATCGCAGAATCACCTGGATATCCGTGCGCGTAAAAGCAGAAAAAAGTATTGACGCATGTTGTGAAAAGGAAGAAAAAAAAACAATAAACTTGTGTGCTTATTTCTTCGATCTTTTCTCGCAACAGCGGCCGAAGACGAAGCGTCTTCGTTTAATCGCTTCGGTCAATACACGATGTCTAGCAGCTGCAGTTTATATCTGGGATGTTTAATCGAAGAGATAAACTGTGTGTTACAGATAAAAATAATAATATTCGTATAACTTTTTTAATCTGGGAAAAAATTCATAATTTTAATTTCGTTTTGAGTATCGTTTTATTCCCGAGTCAGCCGTGCAGAGGAATTCCTCGCAGAATAATTCTTTTTCATTTTGGATTTTAATTGTAGAATATCGAAAATATTGCGGAGCGTGAGAATAATTTTAATTTAAACCTGTACAACAACGAGCGCGTTAACTTCGAATAATTAATTTCGAATAATTGGATACATTTATTTTCGAAGATGATCGTCGCGTTGGAATTTGCAATTCCGAAAGAACGATTTCACGTGTGTCATAAAATTATCCGGATAGAAAAATCGTTCGAGACAGCTTAAATTTATTCATCGATCGCACACACAATTGTATGACGTGACAAATAAGAAATAAATAATAATAAATGTAAAACAGAATATCAAATTCCGACGATGATTTTTCGCTTTAACATATGCGGAGATTCAAAACAGAACATTGATCGACTATCGATTGATGCGCCTCAAGCAGGCCTCTTTTAGCTATCCCGGATGCAATATGTCGGATAAAATATTTGCAATGAGTTTTTGATCGTGGCGGCATCGGTCCTCTCGATACAAGTTCATTTCGCCATCAACTCATCCGATATTAATGTATTCCGCCGTTCTTCGACGAGAGCCCGGGAATATTTAGATAGCAGGTACCTCAAAGCCCGGATGCAAATCGATACATCGGATTGAGCAAACACTGATAGTTATTTTAAGGACGATTCGCAGCGAAACTTTCACTCGGCCGTATAAAAGCTCACCTACAGAGGCAAAAAGGTAAAAGCGGTACAAATATACATGGACTTTTGCCACGATATTAATTATTGGAGGTATATGAAAAATATTTGTTGTGTGTGATGCGCGACGGAAAACAAAAATCCATCCGGTTCTGTGAAATAATATACACCGATGTTGTACGTGGCAAAGCCGTAAAAAAAAAACGTTAATAATAAAAGTGAACGGCACAAGAACGCTTTGAATGCGCCCTGTGTGTAAAAAGTTGCATTGTGTATAAAAATTTAATGGACAATTTGCGATATGTACACATAATAGTGAAGTTGAAAACATCTATTATGTTATCGACATCGTTATTTAAACGCTGTACTTTGTTAACGAAAATGAAAGGCGCATAAATGAGGCAAACCAGCAAAATTTACATCCCTTATAGAGGAGCAATTTTAATGTTAAACCTTGCTATATTTTTTTCGTCCAACATAATATTCGAAAATTTTTTTAAATTATATATTCTCAAAATATCGTGGTGTATCATTTGTTTCAATTTAATTATTCAATTTTTTTTATATAACTCTCTGTGCAATATTTACATAACTCACTTTTATAATATCTCTTTCCGACGCGTCTACCTTCATTCAGTGTCTTCACATTTCACATAGTTCGCATGTTAACCGTCGACTAACTCCGGTGGACTAGTTTTCGGCCGATATACCTGGAAGCAGACGCGCGACGCGACGCGTTTATTAACAAAACGTCGGGACTAATCCATGAAATTTTACCGCGTCACGATCTCCGGCGCCGGAGAGTGCGAGAGACGCGCGCAAAGGTATTAAATAATATTACGAACTATACCAGGTGGATACGTATGCACGTGCATGCATATGTACCTACTCTATCCCACCCTGCCGAAAACTTGGAGGATAGGTATGGGGCGCGCGCAGTCCTGACGCTCCGTCATGAATTTGTATGAAGCTTTAGAGGGCTCAGATGCCCCGGAGCGCGGCTTGCAGATGTTTGAACAGAAATTCCGGCTTTTACGATCCTGCGGTACGAGCGGGACGACACGAGGAAAAGGTGAGAAGGTGGACGATGGGGAAAGTGCAAGATGCAGAAAAGGAAGAGATGAAAGGCTCAAGAGGTCGGACACGAAGGCGATGTGTGTAACCGAAGTTAGACTTTTTTGCCACAAAGATAGGTATATACGGATTATATCAATAAAATGAATATCGTGGCTTTCTATGATGCATATTTGCATAGATGCGTAAAGATTGGACTTAGTATGACTTTACGAGCGGAAATATTAGCCGTTAAAGTGCGCACACATCCCGTCTACATTATGGATAATATGAAATATGTATAAATTTCTGCAGCTCTATACGGTCAAAAATAATTGTATTGTGTATTAAAAATAAACGGATATGTGAATAATTGTTTCGCAATCGCTCGTTGTAATATTTGTTCAGAGATTTCGAAGATTTCGAATTCAACTGCCAATTTGAAGTCTCGATATAATCCTATTAATTTAATTGTATAATTTCGTTAATTGAAATAATATACTTTTCGAAATATATTCTGTTCCCTGTGCAATACCATTCGTATATAATCGTAGTAATTTATCTAATAATTCTTATAGGAGTATAATAAAAGTGGCCGTATCTTTACGCGATATATAATTCAACGTACAAAAATGTAAGCAAACACGTATTACTTTTCTGCAAAAAATGTTGAGTAACTAATTGCAGACGAATTAGCCGATTACAACGAAACGCGAAAGTAATT